TGTTTGTCGGCTCAGCGTGGCAACCATTTAAAATTAAATGAAGCCTCGATTATTTAAATTGCGGCTTCATTTCCCTTTGCCAATCAGCCTAATCTACATGGCTCCATCGATGGAGCCATGTAGTTTAGACACACCCCTGGTTACACCTGTGAGTCAGTAGCTTTACTGTGGATTTTAACACTTCTGCATATGGGAGTCTGAAAAACACCAGAGAGTAAGATTTGTGAGGAGTAACGGTGATCCAAAGATGGATAGCACTGTTATTATATCTATAATACATGGAAATTCCAAAACAAAGTTTTTGTTTGTCCCAGAGTAATGACTGCATTCCGCAGTTATTGGTCAAGAAAACGGAGGAGAGGGTTTGTTTGTGTCTTCTGCTTCTAAAGGTGATAAAAGTTCAGCAAAGCAAGAAGGGAGGAAAGCATATTTTGCAACAAAGCCTTGAACACTGTTCCTCTGGAGCTGTTGGCACGGAGTTGGAAGTGGAATAAAATCCTCTGAAAAAGCAAGGTATTCTGCAGAGATAGCAGCATTTCCCTAAGGTCAGGCAGGAATTAAAAATGGTGTGTGTGTAGAAGAGTGAATTTGCCAGAACTGAAAGCTAGGATGGAGCATTATCAATATGTGGTTATCCACAGTGAACATAAACAGTGCCTGGATAGCTCCCTGAAAGAAGTTTCTTTTCATAAAATCCAGATTTCAAAATGTTCATCCCCTTTTAGTCATTCATATGGAAAAGTTTTTGTATAAGGGTTAGTTTGTTCACCAATTATATCTGAGGCAAAGCATTTCCTTATCTCTGAGAAAGTGGTAAGTTCATAGGGCAGCTACAGAGGGAAACAAAGAAAAATAAGCAGAATACTTCCTTCATCTTTCCAAACAGAAATCTTTTTTTTTTTTGGAAAGCCGATTTAAAAAAAAAAATCAATGGCAAGAGAATTAAATGCCACTGACTAATACAGATAGTCTTGGAGACTAAATTCCTCTGATAATTCAGAAATTAGCAGAGAGCCAATTCTCCCCCCTTTCTCTGAATGCTCAGCCAACCTCCCTCAAGCCAGTCAGCCCAAGCCACTTGTGGGGCAACACAAAATTCCGTGCCCCATTTATTTCTTGGCTTCTCTGCAAAAACTGCCAACAAGAGGGCCAATTACAAATAGTTCTGCGTGGATATTTTAAATCATGGCTAATGTGGAGAACGGAAATAAGGAAAAGTTATTTACTTGCTCCCGTAACATAAGAAGCTGGGTCCCCAAATGAAATGAATAGGCAGCAGGTTTAAAACAAACAAAATGAAGTTTTACTTCACGCAGTGCACAGTCAACCTGTGGAACTCCTTGCCAGAGATGTTATGAAGGCCAGAAATGGAACAGGGATAAAAAGAGCTAGATAAATTCATAGAAGATAGGTCCATCAATACTTATTAGCCAGGATGGGTAGGAATGGTGTCCCTAGCTTCTGTACGTTAGAGGCTGGGAATGGGTGGAAGGAGAGGATCACTTGATTATTCCCTATTCTGTTCATTTCCTGAGATATTGGCCACTGTCGGAAGACAGGATACTGGTCTGACCCACTTTGGCCGTTCTTATGTTCTTATGCAGTGTCATCACAACAGAAGTGGGTCTTGGGAAAGGGTATGGAGGCCCACATGGGAGTGGCCTTACGTTAGAGGCTGGGAATGGGTGGAAGGAGAGGATCACTTGATTATTCCCTATTCTGTTCATTTCCTGAGATATTGGCCACTGTCGGAAGACAGGATACTGGTCTGACCCACTTTGGCCGTTCTTATGTTCTTATGCAGTGTCATCACAACAGAAGTGGGTCTTGGGAAAGGGTATGGAGGCCCACATGGGAGTGGCCTTACGGT